TTACAAATAGCACAAAAAATTGAAATATTCTTCCAGTATTCAAAAACTATTATGCAGTTCAGCAAAAATATTGCTCAAGCCACTGATAAGTTCCAACATAAGTCTCACTGTTTCACTTTCATCTTATTGAATGATGCATATGAAAATGTCAACTTAATAAGTTTTGATCTTGATTTAAGAGTTTGGTAAAACTCAGTGAAAACATTCTGTGAGAATCAGTTGCCTATAAAAAGTGATGATAAATTGCATATTTCACTTTTTATAAATTGTGTGCTGTACATCCTTTATATGTGTAAATTTTAAAATACACTTTACAAAAAGTACAATTGTACATAAACTTTTGTTTTGTTTATGTATACAATTACAAAATAATTGTATGCGTGCACATACAATTATTTTTCTGGATAGCTGGTTGTTAATAATTTACAAACACACATATGCCATGGCCAATTTCACACACAAACTATCATGTCACATCACTGAATGTGGAATTAGGGATAATTTGGAAGAGCATGCGTTTTCACATTTTAATTTGAAGACTATTGGATATTGGGAAAAATTGTTTTAACAGTAGTAAATGGTAATGTCCAACAAGATTGAAATGACATTCATAAGCACAATGCAGAATAAGATTAGACCATGAAATATGGTACAATCCTGTACTAGATTAGTCTAATGAATGAGTAGCCTTATAAGTGTAATTTACAGAAAAGGAAGTCCTATTTAAATTAACAACAAAATTCCTTTGGTTTAAGATTTTGTCCGTTGTTTTTAAGGGCAGAAGGTTAACATTATTATTATTTTGATATTAGAGAGGGGAAGGGAGGGAGGACAGGGAGACACACGTTGACATGAGAGGAACATCAACTGGCTGCCTTCTGCATGCTCCCCAACTGGGTCTGAACCTGTAACCTAGGTCTGTGCCCTGACCAGGGAATTGAACCCTTTCAGTTTTCAGGAGGACGCCCAACCGAGCCACACCGGCTAGGGTTTAACATTATTTTGATAATAAACATGTATTGAAGTACTATGTGCCAGATGGTGTTGTCAGGATGCAGAGATGACATTTATAACCACATAGTTAAAAGAATATAATTTTTGGAATTTTGAGAACATTATACTAAATGAAGTAAACTAGTCACAGAAAGATAAATACTATATGATTCCCCTTATATGAGGTATCTATAATAGTCAAACTCATAGAACAGCAACTAGAATGGAGGTTGTCAGGGCTGGGGGAGAGAAGAAATGGGGACTTGTTCAGTGGGTACAGAACTTCAGTTTTGCAAACGAAAAAGTTGTAGAGACCTGTTGCATGATAATGTGAATGTAGTTGATGCTATTGATGTGTACACTTAAAAATGGTTAAGATGGTTTAAAATAAAAAAGAAGAGCTGGGATTTAAAGTCAGGCCTGACTCAAAAACTCTTAACAGTTATGTTCTCGTTACTGCCTACTTTGCAGTAATTTCATTTTCAGTCAAAGAATATTTTCTTTCTCTGATTTACAGTCTTCCTCTTCTGTATTCAGGGTGGTAAGCCATTGGTTAGCAGGTTCAGTGCCTGAAGCCATACAGATACCAGAACTTTTTCTTGGGAGACTGACATACTTAGCCAGAATAGTAAATTGAAAATGAAGTCTTCAATCCAAGACAGGGATTGTCAACCTTTTTCATCTCATGGCATACATAAACTAATTACTAAAATTCTGCAGTACACAAAGAAAAAAACTTGTTTTTTGCTGATCTGACAAAAAAACAGGTATAATTTGGATTGTATCTGGATGACTGTTATTGTGTTGGTTGCTGTCATTTTTTTAATTTGACAATCTAAGGGGAAAAAGGTCAGTGCCCATGACTAAACAGTCAGGTATTGCATGTTTTAAAAATTCTGGGGCACATCAGTTGAAAATCACTGATCTAAGAGATTAAGTGGAGAAACAAACACAGGCCAGAGAAATACGCAAAGGGTACTTGGGAGAAATAAATTTGACTTTCAAAAGACAATATACATGATTGAAAAGTGCTTAGTCTACTAAAAAGTCTGTGATGAAAGAAGTGTGAAGGCATTATTTTTTTCAATGTTATAACCTGATGTAATTTAAATCTTCCTGAATCTCAATTTTTTTTCCAGAGTAAAATAGAGCTAAGGCTAACTGTAGGCAGTATATGGCAATGCAGGGTCTGAAACGGAAATACTATTGAGAATAAATTAAAATTAAACTGTGTGGGAACAGCCATGTGTAGAAAGAATGCAACTTAAAACATTATAATTGACTCAAAGTTGTTCTGCTTGCTGCACAATAGCTACTAAGTCAAGTGACAGGAATTGAAGCAAGGTGACTATTTGGAAAGCCAGCAAGCTGAGAAGACAGTGGACTAGTGTCATAAAGAACCACCCTGCGAAAGTACAGAACATATGCTTCTTTTGTGTCAGAAGGGAGAATGTGCTTCTTTTATGTCAACTCATGAGAGGGGTTTCAAATTCAGTCACATGGTTCCTATAAATCATTATTTTTGTACATATCATCCTTATGTCCTCGAGAAGGTAGTTTTAAGCAGGGAGGTTGCTTCAGTAATTTCTTGGCTATAGGCAAGGTTCCTTTAATGGTAAGCATTATCTATCTGCAGAACTAAGCAGACGTAGCTAAATGACACATCTGGTGCGAGAAACATGGGAGTCAAAAAGCCCTGGACAGGTGTCTCAGCTGGTTGGAGGTACACCAAAAAGTTGCAGGTTCCATCCCTGGTCAGGGAGCATACCTAGGTTATGGGTTTGACCCTCAGTCTGGGGACATGGAAGGTAACTAATCAATGTTTTTCTCTCACTTGCTTCCTAAAATAAATAAATAAATAAAATAAAATCCCATGGTTGAGGATTAAAAAAAAAGATGGAGTCAGAAAGACTGATTATTTTATTTTTATATTTTCAATATATTTTATTGATTGTGCTATTACAGTTGTCCCACTTTCCCCTTTATTCCCCTCTGCCCTGTACCCACTTCCCATCATTACCCCCACCTCAGTTCATGTCCATGGGTCATACATCTAAGTTCTTTCGCTTCTCCATTTCCTATGCTATTTATTCTTAACCTCCCCCTGTCTATTTTGTACCTACCAGTTATGCTTATTCCCTGTACCTTTTTTCCTATTCTCTCCCCTCCCCCCACCGATAACCCTCCATGTGATCTCCATTTCTGTGATTCAGTTCCTCTTCTAGTTGTCTTCTCAGTTTTTGTTTTTCTAGGTTTGGTTGTTGATAGTTGTGAGTTTGTTGTCATTGATTTTTTTATTCTACTAAATTATAAAAGACAAATGATTCTACTCTTGCTCAGATTTAATCAAGATAAATTGAGTATTCCAAAAATGCAAGGATACAGTTTGCTAGAATGGGAAGAACAATGAAATTAGACTGAGTTTAAAATATAGCCTTGGCTACATAGCCCTGGCTGATGTGGCTCAGTGGATTGAGTGCTGGCCTGTAAACCAAAAGGTTGCTGGTTCGATTCCCACTCACAGCACATGCCTGGGTTGCCAGCCGGGTCCCCAGTTGTGGGGTTCTAAGAGGCAATCACATTGATCTTTCTCCATCTCTTCCCTTCTCTCTAAAAACAAATAAAATCCTAAAATCTACACATACAAGTGATATAGTATAGGGCAAGTCACTTATCTCCCTGAGCCTCAAGTTCTTTATTGTTCAGTATCGTGAACATTCATTTCACATTTATTGACTACTAGGGCCAGGACTGTATTAGGTAGGTGCTAGAGATAAAAGAATGCAAGCACTGTCCTTGCCTTCAACATCAGTATGTGATAACCACTATAATATCTACTGCATGTCTTCTATGTGCCAGCTACTTATAGATGCTTTTAACTCATCACATCTTCATTTAAAATTCTTCTTACAACCTAAAATGAAGGTATTATTACTATCATTTACATTTGTACAAGAGGTAGAGAGGTTAAGTATCCTGCTCAGGATCAAACAGCGATTAAACGTTGGAGCTGGACTAACTTCTGACAGAGGGCAGGCACTGCAAATTTGTTATGTGCAAGGTGGTCCCTGGCGGTGGTAAAGCTTTCCACACTGAAGCAGTTTTAGTTCACCCATTCGAAAAACAGGAATTAAATCATTACTACCTTTTGAGATTGTGCCCATTAAAGAGCATGTTTAAGAGTATGTTTAGTGCTTGGAACATGTTAAACACTAATTTTTAAAAAATATGTTTTATTTATTTATCTTTAGAGGAGGAAGGGAAGAGGGAGAGAAATACCAATGTACGGTTACCTCTCCTGTAGCCCCTGCTGGGAACTGGCCTGCAACCCAGGCATGTGCCCTGACTTGAACCACTAAATTAATGCTGTTAATTTCATTTTATTCCTTTAAGTGGGACCACTGTGTTGAAGCTAGGAATGCTTGAAAGGCTTTCGCTATATACCGCGTACCGGCTTTTTAAATGCGTCATTACATTGTCAACAGCGCGAGAGCCCTGTAGTTGCTTTACGTTACGATATACAATAGGGCCCACTCAGATTTTTTCAGTTTTTGACAGCCTTATCTATTTTTTGCATCAAAGTCTCTCCATCTGCCCTTTTTATCGCCACCTCAGCCCCAAAAGAAATTCTCCGAGAAGCCGCACAGCGGCGCGTGGGCGGACATTTCATCCCGCCACAAATAGTGCCTCACCCTCTCGCGCAGGGCGCGGAATGCTCGAGCCAGCTATCGCGAGAGGAGACGTGCTCCCTTTTTTTTTTTTTTTTCCCCTAATTAAAAAAACTTTTTTTTGAATGAAAATTTATAACTTCGCCCCACCTCTGGAGTCACACGACTGGCGATTGCGTCCTCGACCCCAGGTCTTTCCTGCTCCCCTACGTGTTTACTCGGCTCCAGGTTTTCGCGAGGTCCATTCCGGAAGTAGGCATTTCAACTATTTTTCTCGCCGGAAGCGTGTCACAACCCTGCCGTCTGCCCTTAGCGGAAGTTCGTCACGGTGCAGTTGCCTCCGCACAGCGGATGTGTGTCGCCGCTCAAGTGACGCTAGGAAGCGCTTGCAGCCTTCGCCGGTGCCTTCTGGTTGGAGCACTATGGAGGGAGAGAGGAAGAGCAACAACAAACGGTGGTATTTCACTCGAGAACAGCTGGAAAATAGCCCATCCCGTCGTTTTGGTCTGGACCCAGATAAAGAACTTTCTTATCGTCAGCAGGCGGCCAATCTGCTACAGGACATGGGGCAACGTCTTAACGTGTATCCTTGCGGCCTAGGCCTTCGGCCTTGGAGTCATTCCCACCTTGTTTTCGCGTTCAGGCCTCAGGCTCTGTCAGGGACGGAAGGGGGAAGATGATGGGCAGAGGCTGGATGTTTAGGAAGGAGAGACTATGATGGGGCAGGCTGAAGTTAAGTGTTCGTGCTAGGGTGGCGAGGCGGAGTTAATTTCCCGCTCGCTCACCAGTGCCACCAACCTTGCCGGGAATTCGTGTGCTTCCCTGCTTTGTGTTTTAACCCGCCCTTCCTATGCCCTTTTCGGTGTGTTCTGGTCTACTGTTGTGGTGACTTTGAGATTTTGCTTTTCTGCTATGTCCTAGAAGGTTTGGTAAAGGTTTTACGGCTGATGACTGCTTCTTGAATTTAGAAATTCAGTACCTGAAGGTCTTTAAAGGGTGGCTTAGAATTAATGCCCAGCTTTGGTTTAAAGTCCGTTTTCCCCCACTTCCTAGCTGTTTAAGAAACCTGTCAAGTTCTTGGTTTTCTCGTCTGTAATGAGGTGGTACCTCTTGCATTTATTTAGTATGGCCAACACAGTGTGTGGTACTCAAGTTCAAATAGCTACTGTTAAGAGTTTCATAGGATTTCAGAGAAAGGGGGAATGTCAGTTAAGATTTGTAGGGTTGTAGACCTACGGATCTAACGGCTTTAAAAAACTATTGAAAAGTGATGAGGTTTTTGGAAGCATATTTCTCAGTCTGTTAACATCTTGCTTTCTGCCATATCCTCTGTTAGGCATAAATACATTTTTCATAAAAATTCTCCACAGATGAAAAAAGAATAATATTGGATTTTTAACATACTCAGAGTGCTGATGTATATTCGTTCGTCTCATACTTTAAAGATTAGGTAATTTAGTGACTTTTTTTCCTCCAAGCATTTTTTGGCTTTTTATGTTTATCATCATTACTTCAACCTGTGTATACCAGCAGTTTTTCAAACATCAAGTACCAATATTTTCTGGTAAATATCAATTTTCCCGAAACAAATTAATCAATATAACACAATTTCAGTGGATGGTGATATCATCAGCATAAGTAATACAGACTACATGGCAGTACTTAAAGTCATATACATCACTTCAGCATTTTATAAAACTTCTTTCTAAACTTCTGCAAACTTTCTCCCATCCAGGTAGACCCTGGTCCGACCCTGCTTAGCTTCCGGGATCAGACAATCGGGTGCATTCAGAGTGGTATGTCTGTAGACTACAAACTTTCTCATTGTAAAAAGACTTCAAAAACATCATAACATTGGCTACAAAATACACTCTGGAAATGGAGTTATTTTTCATATTTTAAATTAAAAAAATTTTAATTTAATAAAGTTTTATTTTAAAAAATATACAGCCGGTGGGTCCTGTTCATGCATCTGTACCAGCAGCTGGGACATCCCCACACTTGGTGTCTCTGGTGTAAGTTACTTGAGCTCTGTGCTTTGAAACTAGTAAGGTCTTTGCGAAGTAGCTCCTGAAGGGCTGCCTTGACTAAGGAACCATGGACCTTCTGTCTCTGAGGCAACAGCTGGGGTTATAAGCTTATAGTTGGGAACTTCTTACAGAGTTTGTCATATGTTGCTTTGTCAAGCAGTTCTGGGTTATTGAGCTTGTCCTGAGTTTTGCCTTTGGACCACTTCTTTTGGACTTGCCCCCAGATTTGTTTACTGGGTCTTTGTATTTCTTTACCGATTTTCCAGCATCTATTGTTGTCCTAGCGCAGCATATTGAAACTTAGAGAGCAGTTGCTATCGCTGCAGCCTTGCTAAGATGTCAGACAAAAAGGAAGACTTTTGTATTTTAATGTTAAAAGATAACGAGGAGGAGTCTGTTGAGAGAGGTGGAGAAAAGGGAGCTTCCAGTTGATGGATTCAGTATGTCTGAAAATATTGGGTTGGCCAAAAAGTTCGTTTGTTTTTTTCCTTAAGATGGCTCTAGTAGCACTTAGTTGTCTTTAACTTCATTCAAAACAATTTTGATAGATTGTGTGGTGATAGCTGTCATATCAGTTTGCATTAAAAAAACCTTACTATGTTGGTGAATTTTTGTGTAGCCATTTTAACATTGAAGATGGAAGAAGATTAGCTACATTTTTGGCATATTATGCTTTATTATTTCAAGAAAGATGAAAATGCAACCAAAATGCAAAACTACATTTGTACAGTGTATGGAGAAGGTGCTGTGACTGATTAGACGTGTCAAAAGTGGTTTGGGAAGTTTTGTGATGGAGATTTCTTGCTGGACAATGTTCCACGGTCCAGTAGACCAGTTGAAATTAATAGTGGTCAATGGAGACATTCACTGAGAACAATCAACATTATACCACATGGGAGATAGCCCACATACTCAAAATATTCAAGTCAATAAAGTTACTGGTGAAAATGGAAAATGTGTCTTTTCTTTTTTGGAAAAAAACTATATTAGACTTTTTGGCCAACCCAATACTTCAGTAATGTAAAGAAAAACTTGCAGAGCAAGAATGTAAATAAGAGTCTTGCAGCAAGGTGAACAAATTAACGGTTCTTGCATCAGTTTCACCCATAGGAGAGAGGTGTTCTTGAAGATTGCTTGTTTACAAAATCTTTTGTAAGTTACAGTTGACTACCCTCAATGATTTGTTTTTTATTGGAACAATATCATAAGGGTCAATATACTTTTCTAAAAGCTTATTCACTCTGTCTTTTAGATAACCTATTTTCACAATGTGTTCAACATTGTCTGCTCCATCTGCCCTAAGTCTCCTTGGGAGTCTCAGGCAGAATTATGTTCTTGTCTTTTAGTTGATTGAAATATTCTGTTCTTCAAGGCATCATGTTTGTTAAATACATTAATTAGTTCTCTGTTAAGTCCTTTGAATACTCCACTGTCATAAAAATCTATGAGGTTGGACACTACTTTCACATTTGGTAAATAAACACCAGCATGATGAATAATCCCTAGTACATCACCGATACGAATGAAAGTACGAACACAAGGATGCTATATGGGAGCTTATCAGAGAAATTCTCATGTTCTTCCTTGGGCATAATGACAGATTCTCTTACAGTTTCTTGAGGTTTTGGTAAAACCTATTCAACAAGCAAACCATGTGATTTACCTTTCTATCATATAAGGGTACTACTCTTCCATAGCAAGAATAGGACCAATTTAAATAGCATAATATTTTTTTCCTTCAGTTACAGTAACTTTTTTTGACATTTCATCTGAAATCAGCTTACAGTTAGTTGTCAATGACATGACGTGGACATCTTTTCCTTTGTAGGAGAATCTCCGTCAAATCAAAGTCTGTTACCTGAAGTTTGACCACTCCACCTTTGATAAGACCAGATAATTTCTACTCTTGTAGGGATCTTCATGTGAGCTAAATGTTTCTGGAATTCTGGCACCATTTTCACATGTATAGCACAATCTTAGTCATTTCTTGTTTGTCTAGTCTTCTATAAGGTACTCTTGAGTTCTTTCCTTGAATGCATCCTAGAACAACAGTATTGGTGGTAAACAGTATCTAGAGATGCAGGGCCTGGATGTAGGCATCTCAGTGATCTTGGTCTTCTGCCCTGTCTTCCTCTTCAAGGTGAATATGTTCTGGGTCAGCGCCACCAGAGCCGCCAGGGTGACTATGCTGGCACTAGTCACCATGGCCCACCCTTGCCATGGCCATCTGGTCTATGGATGGGCTGAAAAGAATTTAAGCATTCAATCCTTTTTGTCAGAAAATATACTCATTTTGTAGCAGAAAAGGCTGAGTTTTCAAGTTCTTTTCACTATGGAAGTGAAAAACTACCCTTGGGTGTAGCTTCCATTTAAATGTGTTGCTGACTTTATTATGTTTGTGTTTTAAGTACTCAAGAGGTATTCTCTTTATTGCCACTATCCAATTTGTTTCCTAAGCATCCAGTCAGTGTAGAGTGAAGCCTTTTGTCTGAAATTGTTTCAGTGCATCCTAGCCCTTTCTTTTTTGTGTTTGTTGTTATTAAGGTTGTTGCCATCATGGGACTGCCTCATTTCTGCCTGCCCGGCATTGTCTTCTGAGGTCTTTAGAAATAAGGCATTTAAAAGTTTTTCTTAGTGAATGAGTATTGAATCATTCCACAGTGTTTCTGGTCCCAGGGATCACTGTATGAGAAGGCTTGGTTGCTAGAGAGAAGTGGAACTGAAAAGTTAATTGCTGGAGATTAGAAGGTGAGGTGACAGTAAAACATATTTCTGGGGCCAGGTCAGGGAGGACATTGTCAGTCATGTGAAGAGAGATCCTGAGCTAATGAATCACTGTTGCGGGATTTTTGGTAGGCAAGTGACAAGTTTAGTCCTTATATAATTTTGTTTGTATTCCTTGATTTGCAAGTGCTGATAAGCTTGTTTATTCAGCAGATTTATATTGAATACCTGTTATGTTTAAGGTATGCTCAGTGTCAACTGGTAGTTAATAATTTGGTGGAGAGGTACGTATGATTTTCATTTGAGAGCATCTACTGTGCTCAGCTTGCACGGTCATTATGGGAGGGTATAGAGGCTATATTTTTGGGAATTGTACTGCCTGCCTGTTTTGAGGCCTTAACTTGAACATTTTAGCTCACAGTTGACTATCAACACTGCTATAGTATACATGCATCGATTCTACATGATTCAGTCCTTTACACAGTTCCATCGAAATGTAAGTATAAAATTTATATGGTGTACTCGTTTTGTGATTGATTCAAACTGTATATTTCTTTTGTTGTTGATCTTTGCTGCTGAGCTGGGATTTAAGGTTTAGAATTTAGGATTGGTCACTTTCATTATGTTCACATTGCTATTCTGAATCCAGATTTCCAATTTTCCTATGAAGTGTCTAGTTTGGTAGATTGAGTGCATCTTTAGAGTAGGTGGAGTCATTGATAAAAAAATAGATTATTGAACACTTAAACTTAACATTTGGGTTGGGAGAGTAGCTTTTGAGGGGAAACTGCTTAATTTTAAGTGTAATTTCTGAAGTGGTAAATAATATGGCCACAGGAAAACAAATGAATATGTTATTTAGATTTAAGAGCCTTTGATAAAATTCCAATCAATGACAGATTGGAGGGGGAAGGTAGAGGTACATATGTGATTACTGGGGATGACTATTTTTTTAAGATTTCATTTATTTTTAGAGAGAGGGGAAGGGAGCGAGAGAAACATAGATTGGTTGCCTCTCATACACATCTCAACCAGGGACTGAAATGGCAACTTGGGCATGTCCCCCGACAGAGAATCAAACCGGCAACCTTTCGCTTTGCAGGAAAATGCCCAACCAGCTGAGCCATGTTGGTCAGGGCTGGAGATGACTTTTTCTTTTTCTTTTTAAAAAGATTTTATTAATTTATTTTTAGAGAGAGGGGGAGGGAGGGAGAAAGAGGGGGAGAGACATCAACGTGTGGTTGCCTCTCATGTACCCCTACTGGGGAGCTGGCCTGCAACCCAGGCATGTGCCCTAACTGGGAATCAGACTGGCAACCCATTGGTTTGCAGGCCGGCACTCAGTCCACTGAGCCATATCAGCCAGGGCTGGAGGTAACTACTGATGAGTGTTTTGGCATGTGGTGTCCTAGAGCATGTTTCTGTACATATACTGGCATTTATGTATTTTCATAAAAATAACTTCTTACTATAATACTTTTACCAACTTGCCTTTATCGCTTAATAGTATATGTTGGACATCTTTTCATTATTTTCAGTGACTGCATACTATTTCTTTGTTTTTGCTATCATTTGTTTCACCAGATCTCTAATGGTGGATATGTGGGATATTTATTTTTATTTTTTAAAATTTTATTATTTTATTATTTTAGAGAAAAGGGAGAGGAGGGAGAGAGAGAGAAACATCCTGGTGTAAGAAACATCTGTCTGTTACCTCTCATGTGCCCCCAGCTGGGGACTGGGCCCACAACCCAGACATATATATGCCCTGACTGGGAATTGAACCAGCAACCCTTCAGTTCACAGACCAGTGCTCAAACCACTGAGCCACAACAACTAGGGCTCTAGTTTGATATAAATTTTTATAGGTGAAATTGCTATGTCAAAGGGCATGCATTTAAAAACTTTTCATTGTGTCAGTTTGCCCTACTGAAAGATTACATCAATAGACTTTGTTTCCAGCACTGTAGGAGAGGGTCCTTTCCTCTACATCCTCACTAACAAGTATTTGCTAATTTGGGAAATACTAAGTTGTATAACTGCTTGTCAACAAGCACTAGGGTTACAGTGGTGAACAAGATAGAGGGAGTTCTATTTTCTTAATTTATATTTTTTAATTAGTGAAGTTGAGCTGCTTATGACTGTTAGTTATTGCTCCTCATGAAATTGAAGAATGAACTTAAAAATTGTTTGTTGGTTCATTTTGCTCTTATTTTATTCTAATTTTCTTATTTATATGACCACTTTATATATTATATTTCTATGCCATGTGTTGTGTGAATACTTTTCTCATTTTGTTGGGTTCCTTTGTTGATAGTGTTTTGGAGCCTAGAATGTCTTGCTTTAAAATTTTTTTTTATTAAGGTAAAACATACAGTAAAGCCCAAAGATATGGTGTCCAACTGAATTACTTTTTGCATTATTTTATGTATCAAGTGTATATACATACTCAGATCAAGATACAGTATGTTTCCAGTGAAGGTAGAAAGCTTGCCTTTTGATTGAAATACATTTTATTTCTTTAATGGATATGATTAAATTACTGTTTTTTCTTCCACTTAAATTCTGGCCTAACATTTAGTCTGTTCTTGGGAAGAAATTTAATCTCATTACCTGATTTTCTATATGTATGCTTTTAAATGTTTTCAAGTGAGGAAGTATAAAAATAGTGGTGAGCAACTTAGTATGTGTGCTGCATTTTATATATTTTAAAGTGCAGGTGTTGTAGCTATCAAATTTGGGTGTATTTTACTGTATTTTACTGTTACTAGTTAACTCTTAGAAGGTCAGGCTTAGTGATGAGAAGAATAGGCTCAGGAGTCAGACTTGTTTAGATTTGAATCCTTGGTGCCTTACTTTTTTTCTAGCTATATGGTTTTGGGCAAGTTACCATAGGCTTCAGTTTTCTCATCTTTTTGGAGTCAATAATAGTGCCTACTACATACAGTAAGTAGTTAATAGGAATTAAATTAAATATTTTACAAAGTGCCTGCACATAGCAAACAAATACTAGCTGGCATTATAATCCTTATAAAATGGAGAAAAATCTTATATTCCTACCCGGTGTAAAAGTTCCTCTGAGAAACTGCCTTTGATGGGTAAATGGCTTTGATAAGCCAGCCTGGTAAGTGATTCCTTGAGGAGAAATGAGTATTTGTGTGGCTGATTTGCACAAAAATAAGATTAAAATTTATCTCTTTCAGGCTTACTCTGACTGAGATATTGTTTTGCCTTGTCAGCCAATTTTTGTGTACCATGTTTTAGTTCCTTTCAAATACATTTTTAGCCCCTTAAAGGCAAATTTGAAGGCTTAAATCTCAGTGTTGTCTTTGAGTTGTCCTTTTCCCCTCTGTTCAATCAGTTTTAAAGTCCTTTTATTTTAATTTTTATAATGTTACTGATTTTTCTCTCCCTATAAATGTATATTTACATTTATCATCATCATAAAATTAAAAGAAAACAGAATAAAGGGGGAAGTGATGGTTTTCCTATAATCTCCTGTTCAGAGATAATCCAGTTAACATATTGGAACATATCTGTTAGAATTTTTTTCTCTGCATTCAAATATACATGTATTTAATGAAACCCTATTAGTTTTCCAAGTAATACCAGGAACCTTTTTTTCTTTATTTCTACTGCTAGTGCTTACTCTAAATTTTATTTTCATTGTCTGGATTATTACATTGTTTTCTTTGTAAAAAATTAAGTATATCCTGTCCCTTCTTTCAGTGCTACTTTACCACCAGATTAATCTTCCTAAATATTTCTTAAACTCTACAAATTTTCCTAAAATCTTTAGTGTTACTTTTGTTAAAAATCTTTCATGTTCCACATCTGTATCACTGAGTTATAACAACTCAGTTTAGTGTTGAAAATGTGCTTCCTGCCTTGTTTCCCCATACATTTTTGTTCATGCTCGTTTTCCTCTGGTTCTTTCCTTATTCCTAAACTCTAGGAATGTATATGCAGCAAGCTCCATGTGCAACTGCAACAAATATGAAGGAAGAGAATTGTTACTTTGAATTGTGAAGAAAAATCGGTTCTATCAAAGTGTAACAGAGAACAGCAAGATAGAACTGTAGTCCCCCCCTTATCTATGCTTTTGCTTTCAGCGGTTTCAGTTGCTCATGGTCAGCCACATGTGGTTAACCATGCTTGAAAATCTTAAATGGAAAATTCCTGAAATAAACAATTTGTAAGTTTTAAATTGATTGCTGTTTTGAGTAATGTGATGAGGTCTTTTGCAGCCTCCCTCTTTAGTAGCCATCTTAATTCAGGGAGGTGGGAGTTGAGCCACATTTAGGTAACTTTTAATATGGATTATTGTTTTAATTGTTCTATTTTATTATGTTATTGTTGTTCATCTCTCACTGTGCCTAATTTAGAAATTAAACTTTATTATAGGTATGTATGTATAGGGAAAAAAACATTGTCTATGTAGGGTTTGGTAGTATTTGAAGTTTCAGACATCCATTGGGGGCCTTGGAATGTATCCCTGGAGTATAATTGGAGACTTCTGCATTAGAATGCATATCAGTTCTATTCACTAAAATGAACTAGGTATTTCAATTCTACAAAGTTTCTTTTATTCCTGGTGAATTTTTTTTGTCATTGCCATCTTTGATCCATTGAAATACTAAGATTCAAGAGAAGCTCTACTTCCTGAGGTTCCCCAGATTACCAGGCTACATATATAAGGTCTGTCCAGAAAGTATCCAGTCATGTAATATGAAAAATAGAGACATTTATTGAAGAAGATCCAAGATACAAGAAACATTATACATAGAACAAGGACTCCTCAGTCCCCTTCAAAGTAGGCACTTTGGGGCCTCACACTGCTCCTAATCGCCATCACTGCCCCATCATATTTTCCTGAATCTCATTGAAGGTCTGAGATCTCTTCCCTTTCAAAGGCAGTTTTAGTTTTGGGAAAAGCCATAAGTCACAGGGTGCCAAATCTGGGCCATGGTGGGGCTTCATCACCAGTCACCTGGGTGATTTTGAGGTTTCACAAAAAAACTGCACGAAACGTGATATATGAGTGGGCATGTTGTTGTGATGAACCTGCCAGTCACCAGTTGCCCATATCTGGGGCCCATCCAAATAGATTCTGCCAGGGAATGTTCAAGCTTAACGCAAAATGTGATGCAGATTTACTGCTCTACTTGCTCAGTCACTTCGAATGCGATGGCCATATAGTACACATGCTCACTCTATGGCACGGGTGTCAAACTCATTTTCACCAGGGACCATATCAGTCTTGTGATTGCCTTCAAAGGGCGGAATGTAATTTCAACATTTTAACAGTTAAGGATTAGTTACATTTATACACCCCTAAAAGTATTTTGGCCCTTTGAAGGCAACTGTGAGGTTGATGTGGCCCCTGGTGAAAATGAGTTTGACAGCCCTGCTCTATGGCATCTACAACCCCTACTGACTAGTATAGTGAAGTCGTAATTATTCACATGTGCACATTCCAGTCCACTTTCCCTGGCTGCCAGGTTACATCAGTGTTGCGCAAACCTTTCTCATTATATTAACGATGGTTGGACCTTTTCCAGACAGACCTTGTATTTTATAGTGCTCTACTTATATTGTTTAGTGTCTGAGTTTGATATCTACTTGTGTATTGGCTTGAATTTTTTCAACTCTGTCTTTTATGTATAACCTCTTGAATGAATATATTACTATACTTTGAATTCGTTTTTTAAGATTTATGCCCCTATATGTAAGTATAATTGTGATAATTCTCATATAGTAAAATTCTTCCTTTTAAATTATACAATTCACTGGTTTTTAGTATATTCACCGAGTTATGCTACCACCACCATGATCTGATTCTAGAACATTTATGTCACCCCAGCAAAAGAAACTCCTCACACTTAAGCAGTCACTCCCATTCCCCTCTCCTCTTAGCCCCTAGCAGCCACTAGTCTACTTGTTTGCATGGATTTGCCTTTTCTGGACATTTCAGTGTACTCCTTTAAAAAAAGTATGTAGCCTCGACCAGTGTAGCTGAGTTGGCTGGGTGTCATCCTGCAAAGCAGAATGTCACTGGTTGGATTCCTGGTCAGGACACATGTCTGGGTTATGGGTTTGGTCCCTGGGGAGCATATAAGAGGCAACTGATTGATGTTTCTTTCTTACATCAATGTTTTTCTTCCTTTCTCTACCCCCCAAAAATAAATGAAATCTTAAAAAAAAAAATAAAAGAAAGTATGTAAAGTTTTGATACAAATTTAGTAAAGAATCTCATTTATAGAAAGTTGTTTATTTATTTATATCTAGCGGCTTCTTGAATAGCTAGACTTTTTTTTTTTATCCTCACAGAGGATATGTTTATTGATTTTAGAGAGAAAGGAAGGGGCCAGAGAGAGAAACATCGATTGGTTGCTTTCCACACGTACCCTGACCAGGAATCACACCCAGAATCTAAGTATGTGTCCTGACTGGGAATTTGTCAGGCTTTTGGAGTACGGGACAATGCTCCAACCATCTGAGCCACCTGGCCAGGGCTTCAATAGGTAGCTTTTAATGAGAGTTTGTTCAAGAAAGTGGATATAGTTAATAGGAGGGGAGAACATTTTAAGTACAGGGAAAAGCATAACAAGGTGATGAAATGAAGCAAAGAACCTGGTTTGAGACTTAGTTCTCTTTTAGATCTAGAAATAAACAAATAATAAATATGATTTATTTTCTCTCCATTCAGTCTGTGGCTCCAGCGGCCTTATTTCTAGCAGCTAAAGTAGAGGAGCAGCCCAAAAAATTGGAACACGTCATCAAGGTAGCACATGCTTGTCTCCATCCGCAGGAATCACTTCCCGATACTAGGAGTGAGGTAGGGGATTAATTGCACATCTGTTTGTCTTCATTTATTTTGATTGTAACTTAGTTTTGCAACTTTGATTTATTGAAGTATATATGGGAGCTGTTCAAGGAACCTTTTAGTGTTTGTTTTTCCCTTAATGAAAACATCATAAAAATTTTATGGCAGAGGTTAATTGTATTCTTTGTATTTAAATTGGAAAATGCAGAAAAACGAAGAATATATAATCTAGATATAATATGGACCATAGATATAGCATAAGTGAAGCATTATTATTTCCAGCTTTTCTGTGAATAGCTATACATGTATATATTGTGTTTTTTCATTTACTATATCCCAAATATTTTCCTAGTATATTAATTTTCCACTTGCTTGAAATATGGAATTAGCATTTCATCTAATGTAAACTATATATACATGTTATATTTTATATATATTTTAACCATTCGTTGTTAACCATTCGAGAACTTTCTAAGAAATTACAAAAGTCATATATATTCATTATAAAAAAATCCAAACACTTAGGAATCACTTAAAGTTAAAGCATTTCCCCTCTTCTTTCTGGGAGAATACTGCTGACTATAGTTCTAGTATACTATATTCTTCCAGACCTCTTTCTGTATGCATATACATACAGCTTTTTTTCCCTTCCATTTGACTTTCTTAAAGAAGAGAAAATCTTTCCTGACTGTTTAAGTGACTGGGAATGGTGAGTTGTGAGAAATCAAGAGGTCTGACATTCAGAAGTGCTTGGAGAAAAATTATAGATGAAGTCTCTTACAGTGGATGCAAGAGTCATTCTTTATCAAATAGATAAATAGAATTGTGTGTTCTACTGATCAAATGGAGAGAGTAGGTTTTTTCTTGGGGGTGATTTATATGTGTGTGTGTGTTGATAATAAGCCCTAATTATGTGGATTAAGTGTTTTGCATGGCATTTGTTTTGATTTCCTTCATATTCTCTCAGTGCTATACCAGTAGATCCTAAAACTAATTATTGCTTTGGACTTTCATTTAGGTTTGAGACTAATTACTAAAAATCACTGGTCTACAGAATTGACCAAATAAAATAATTTTATTTTAACAAAATGAAACAAAATTTTCTGCGTTTTTTTTTCCTTCTCTGAAGAATATTTACATAATTTCTCACCTGAGTCTCAATTCCTTGTGTGGTGATTAGGGGAAGATATTTTCTTTACTATATGGAGCAGAGAACTAGCATAGTTGAAGTCCTTATTGGACTTACTAAAGATCATAAAGTTAAGTGGAATGTTAACTAACAGTCTCTTAACTCCTGACCTAAGTCTCATTCTCCTAGAGTTCTAGGCCAGTGCTGTCCAATGAAAATATAAGGGGAGTCATGTGGAATTTAAAAAACAAATTTCTTTTTTTAAAAAATATTTTATTTATTTATTTTTAGAGAGAGGGGAAGGGAAGGAGAAAGAGTGGGAGAGAAACATCAGTGTGTGGTTGCCTCTCATGTGTCCCCTACTGGGGACCTGACCTGCAACCCAGGCATGTATCCTGACTGGGAATTGAACCAGCTACCCTTTGCTTCACAGGCCCGTGCTCAATCTACTGAGCTACACCAGCCAGGGCGAAAAAAAAAACAAATTTCCTTTTAAGATTTTATCTATCTTCAGAGAATGAGGAGGGAAGGGAGACAGAAGGAGAGGGAAACATCGATGTTTGAGAGTAACATTGATCAGTTGCCTTTTGCACACCTTTAGCTGGGGATCTGGCCTGCATGCCAGGCATGTGTCCTGATGGGAATCAAACCAGTGATCTTTAGGTTCATGGGCTGGTGCATAACACACTGACCCACACTTGTCAGGACATAATTTAAAATTTTTTCATTTCATTTAAAGTCTTTAACTTAAAAAAAGTAAAATTAATTTTAATGTATTTTCTATAATAATATATTTTATTTCATTATTAATTTCAGTTCTTGTTCTACTTCATAACTCCATCCCTGCCATTTGTGGCTTTGGTTTCTCTGCAAAGGGTTAAGAATTGCTTATACTTTATATATTGTTCCTTCTGTGTCTTCTTACCTGCAGGCTTACCTGCAACAAGTTCAAGATCTGGTGATATTAGAAAGCATAATTCTGCAGACTTTAGGTAAGTTTCTTTCCCTTTAAAATATTAAAGAAATGTACATGTAATATGATTCAGTTTTTAAAATTTGCAAAATAGGAAGCAGGAGGAAAATCTCTTGGAAAGGTTTGCAGATTTAGAGGTTATAGAGCTCAGTTTTACTGTGGCCTGTACTGAAGAAAAAATGAAAGCACAGCTGACCTTGGAAATAGCAGAGTCTTTTTTTTTTCCTATCCTGGGATTTATGATTTGCTTTTTGAGGTTTGGCAGTATTTAGTTTTAATATAACTAATGGCAGAAACTATTGAAAGAACTCGTTTCCTTCCATGGATTTTTATAGTCTGTCGTCATATTTAGATAATAGCATTTATTTTTAAATTGGTAATCAGTTTAGAACAACAGTGTAGGTGGGAGAATTCACATACACTGTTTTGTGTTTAGAGGTTACTGGTTTTCAGGGATCTTGAGACTGCATTAGCTTTATTCGTGGTACCTTCTAGCTCAAAATATAAGCAGCTTTGGAGATAATGCTTCTTAGAGAAGAGCATGCTGCATGCTTTGTGTGACTCAGCCTCTGAACAATAATTTTGAGATATGAAAATGAGGGAGGCCTTTAATGATGGCTCAGATAAAAGATGTATAAAATACCTGGAGTACTTTAGTTTGTTAACCAGTTACTTTTTTTTAGGCTTTGAACTAACAATTGATCACCCACATACACATGTGGTAAAGTGCACCCAACTTGTTCGAGGTAAGGAATCCCAGCTTGAAATGGTACTCTTGAGTTGTTTTACCATTTAGAGGCTATGATTGCTGTGGATAAATTCATAACACAGCTGCTAATTAATGTGTTTAGGTGATCTCCATTTAAAGAGAGTGACCTTCTTGAGAATGTTTGGCAAAGCTGGGGGCAGACTTTGAAAAATCACTAAATTATAACTAACAACAATTTTAAGGATGTCTTGGGCGTCAGTGATCGTAATTTGATGCTAGGGTTGATTGTCCTAGACATTCTTGAACACCTCCCAGAGGATCATTTAGAAATTATTTGAACTTATTCCCATGATTGGCAGTCCTTTGGCAGAACTTTCTTTTTATTTTAATTTAATGTTATTAGCTATAATTGCATGAAACCTAGTTTCTATCACTCAGTTTAAATAGTAGTATCAAGACTATCAATTCACCATCATGCATCTCAATGCCTTTTTGTAGAACAAACTGGTAATTGGTCTTATTTTGAATTTTGCTTATGTGTATTTTATCTGAAAATTCCAGAAGTTTTCTGAGTTCTTTATATTTTGAAAGCATTAGATGGTTGACATTGAGCAAGGATAGGCTTAAACAGAGATGGAGTTATACTAATATTTAATCTAGGGGAGATTAAAAATTGCTCTGTCAGCCAGAGGATTTGTTTTGTTTTGTTTTGTTTTGGAAGAGGGAACTTTCTTTTGGTGATATAGTAAATATTTTGTTACTTGATTATGTTAGGATTAAGTCAGAGGTTGCTCAATTTAAAACTTAAAAAAACAAACTACAAATCACTTTTTCTAAATATACCAAGGTCTTTTGGATTCTGATCTTGCCTCCAAATTAGTTTGTCCCATGATTTAGTATTTCTCCGTGAACCCATGCATCAGAATGTCTGGGTTATTTGTTAAAAATGCTTACGTCCTTCTCCCAACAGAATCTGAGTCAAACTCTAAGGAGGATGCCCATGGTGCATTTTAAACAAGTGTCAGATACTCGGTACGCAGGATAAAGCTTGAGTCCTTAGGTCTGTAAGCAATCCATTTATTAAAAATTAAAAATTGCTTATCTTTCTTTGGTAGAATGTAAACTTCAGATGGTCAGGGACCATGCCAGCCCCATTTACCACTATATTCTCTACCTTGCACATATTAAATGTTTATTAATTTATTGTTGAGTATAAATGGAACTAATAATTTTTCCTTCCCCTTCACTTTTTTGTTTTTTTCCTCCAGCAAGCAAGGACTTGGCACAGACTTCTTACTTCATGGCAACCAACAGGTTTATATTTTAATATTTTTCCTTTATATTTTTGGGATAGGATTTTACTTGGGTTGGGATTGTCACTTTTTGAGGGGCATGTGGAAGGATGTCCGGCATTTAGTAAACTAGAACTGAAAAACCCAGGCATGGATCTTTGATATAGTATCTTACAGACAATTCTATGGTAAATGTTGACTTTTATGCAGTTTTCATGTTCTGTCTTAAGTTTCCATAGTGCTTTTTTGTTAAGGCGATGTAATCTTTTACTGCCGATTGATAACCTACTTTACTTAATTTCGCATGTTACTTAGCTTTAAAATATCCAAAAGCATGGTTCTGAAAGTTGGTAAACTTGGAATTCATTGACAGAAATGAATTCAGAATTCATTTTCAGAATCAGGAATTCTGAAATGAAAACCCGAAAACCCGATTTGGAGAATTCTGCAATATTTAGGATATTTTAAAATACTTTATTTATTTATTTTTAGAGAGAGGGGAAGGGAGGGAGAAGGAAAGGGAGGGAAACATCAATGTGCAATGATCAGTTGCCTTTCACATGCCCCCATCTGGGGACCTAGCCTGCAACCCATGCATGTGCCCTGACTGGGAATCGAACCAGCAACCTTTCAGTTCACAGACCGGCACTCAATCCACTGAGCCACACCAACGAGGGCAATGTAGGATATTTTAAAAGACTCCTTGTTCTTCCCATACTCCCAGATAAATGGACATGTATATGTATAAAGAGTTGTAATACTTTTTCTTCTTCCCTTTTTAAAGAAAAAAATTAATACATAACTTGTATTACCAAATGACTTGCTCATTCTCATTTACAATCTATTGGTTGTTCTTGGAAACCAAAGATATTCCTAACGAGTATCAGGGCTTAAGAAGTTTCTTTTAATAGACTGATAACAGAAATTTAAAAATAAACCATCACTCAGGCATATTCACACTTGAGAGTGATTGTTTATTATTTCAATAGCCCACACCTATGATTAATAAGAGACAAGATAATTTTTAGGGTATTTCCCTTAAGTATTTGATTTAGGGATTTTATATATATATATATAAAATTTTTTATCATTTTCTTTAAGTTTTGAGCTTAGTCTCAGAATAATTGATCCTTGTTTTAAAAAACTGAGTACCCAGTTTTAATTTTTAATTTTTAGTTTTTTTTGTCTGTCAGTTAATGTAGATCGAATGATGTCTAGTCAGAAAATTTATAAATGTTAACTGAGCAGGTGGGTTAATAGAAAGTAATGTTCAGTGCTGGATCAGAGCACTGGATATGTCTTACCCTTCTAGCTTGCCAGTGTTTTTTTACCCTTTTTTTTTCTTTTTTAAATAATGGAGAGTTTTAACCTTGGGTTCAGAATTGAGAGCTCATGATACTCTCTTGTTTCCTTTCCTCTGATGTCAGCCTGCATTTGACCACATTTAGCCTGCAGTACACACCTCCTGTGGTGGCCTGTGTCTGCATTCATCTGGCTTGCAAGTGGTCCAACTGGGAGATCCCAGTCTCAACTGATGGGAAGCACTGGTGGGAGTATGTTGACGCCACTGTGACCTTGGAACTTTTAGATGGTAAGTTTTAGAGTAAGGGTCCTTGAAAAGCACTTGATCTGTCACTATCTGGCCTAAGGTGACTTGATTCAGATGAAAATAGTTGAGGTTATTCTTGTTTTATTACTTCTGCCTCTTTGTAAGTTTTTCTTAAATGTCATATTTCATTTGTAGAACTGACACATGAATTTCTGCAGATTCTGGAGAAAACGCCCAACAGGCTCAAACGAATTCGGAATTGGAGGGTAAGAATTATTCTTGTCAGCTTATGAACAAACCATTTTCTTTTTTGACTGCACCAGTGAATAAGCCAGAACTGGATCTATACCCTAGGTTTGGAATTTCCCTTTTTGTGCTTGTACAGTAACCATGATTTCAACTTCATGTCTTGAGTACTGGCTGAGAGTGGCTGTAGGTGATAGCAGAATTTGTTTTGTGTTTTGCAACTCTTATGATAGTTGTTTGGTCAGCAATGTTGGTTGAGTATGTTCTGTGGAGGCTCTTGGGGGAAAAATGTGGCTTCTTTGAGTCATAGAGTGTTGGCTTCTGGTAGAGGAAAGATACAGAATTACAAGGTTAGAGCTGATGCCATAGTTTTGTCTTTGACATTACCTACTTTTGAAATGGATTTTAGAATTTTGTTTATGTAGATTGAGGTCTAAATTGTTTTCAGATTTTTTTCAAAGTCTTTTATGAAGAATGGAATCATTCCTCTTTTTTTCCCCAATGTCAGAAAGTTTGTTTAAAAACATTTCCTGCATTTCTCAGAAATCCAGACCAATAAGCTTACTTTTTTTCTGAGTTGAATGAGTTGCAGAAAGTCAGTTTGCCTAAGGTTGAGTGGAGACTTGCGCACATAGGTCATCTTTCAATTTCTTATAAAACCTTATTAAAATTTCTAAAATTTGCTTTTGGACTAAATGCACTCACAAGCAGTCATAAGGCATAGATGTTCAGGAATGAATTTTAGATATGCATTTCATTTTTTAAATTGCCTTGTAGCATTAGTGTAGATTGCTGTGACCTTTTTTTGGTGATAGAACACTTAAGTAAGTTTTAAGTGTCCAGTACTACTCAATCTTACCCAAAAGGCCGAGAAGCGATTAAGTATACATTATTTATTAACTATAGACACTATACTGTACATAGTGTAGACGTCTAGGATTTACTCATCTTGTATAACTGAAACTTTATACACTTTAACTAATTTATCCTTGTTTCCCTCTCGCCCCAGACCCTAGCAACCACTATTCTACTCTGCCTCTCTGAGTTTGATCTAGATTGTTCAATAAGTAAGATCACACAATATTTGTCTTTCTGTGTCTGGCTTGTTTCACTTAGCCAAAGGCTGCAGTTGCAAATGGCAGTATTTCCTTTTTTTTTTTATTGTGGAAAAATACAAGTAAGATAAAATTTACCATCTTAACCATTTTTAAATACACAGTTCATTGATATTAAATACATTTGTGTTGTTATGCAACCACCATAACCATCTGTCCTCATAACTCTTTTCATCTTGTAAAGCTGAAACTCTTGTTTCCATTAAACAGATAACTCTCTATTTCCTCTCACCCCAGGCCCTGGTAATGACTGTTACTCTTTCTGTGTTTCTGATTTTGACTACTGTTAAGTACCTCATATAAGTAATATCATATAGTATTTGTGTTTTAGTGACTGGCTTATATCAGTTAGCACAGGGTCCTTAAGTTTCATACACATTGTAACATATTGTATAATTTTGTTCCTTTTAAAAGCCAAATAATATTCCATTGTGCAATATGTATGTGTATACCACATTTTATTTATCCATTTTTCCATCAAAGGACACTTGGGTTTCTTCTAAGTTTTAGTAATTGTGAATAAATACTGCTGTGAACATGGTTGTACAGATCTCTCTTTAAGACCCTGCTTTTGATTCTTTTGGGTATATACCCAGAAGTGATGGATCATATGGTAGTTCTATTTTTAAATTTTCGAAGAACCCCTATACTGTTTTTCATAGTGGTTGCACCAGTTTACACTCCCCCCAGCAGTGCAGGAGGATTCCCTTTTCTCACATCCTCACCAGCACTTGTTTTTTGTTGACTTTTTGATTATAGCCATTCTGAAAGGTGTGAGGTGATACCTTATGGTATTAATTTGCATTTCTCTGGTACTTAGTGATATGGAGCATATTTTCATATGTCTTTTGGCCATGCGTATACTTTTATAGAAATGTCTATTCAGATCCTCTGTATATTTTTTAAATTAGATTGTTTGTGGGTTTTTTTTATGTTCAGTTGTATGAGTTATTATGATATGGATATTAAGTTCTTATTGAATATATGATTTGTAAGGATCTTTTCCCATTCAGTAGGTTGTCTTTTCATTTCGTTAATTGTTTCCTCCCTGGACAAAAGCTTCTTAGTTTGATGTAGTTACGTTTATTCATTTTTGCTTTTGTTGCCCTTAGCTGAAGAGACATACCAAAAGAATATTGGTAAGACTGACGCCAGAGCATCTAATGCCTATATTTTCTTTTAAGAATTTTGTGTTTTCAGGTCTTACATTTAAATATTTTTTACATGTTATAAGAAAGTGATGTCGTTTCATTTTTTTTTTCACGTATCCAGTTTCCCCAGCACCATTTATGGAAAAGACCATCTTTTCCCCATGGTATATTCATGCCTCATTTTTCATAGCTTGCTTAACCATATGATGTGGGTTAACATATGGACTCCCTGTGCTATTTCATTGAACTGTGAGTCTGTTTTTGTGCCATACTGTTTTTATTATATAACTTTGTAGTATACCTTGAAATCAGGGATCATAATATCTCCAACTTTGTTCTTTCTCAAGATTGCTTTGACTAATTCTGTCTGGGTCTTTGTGAGTTTATGTAAATTTTAGGGTTATTTGTTCTGATTCTATGAAGAATGCCATTGGTATTTTGATAGGGATTGCACTGAATCTGTAGATTGCTTTGGGCAGTATGAGAGCAATATGAAATCTAAAAAACAATGCTTCTAGTTCATGAGCATGGTATATATACTGTTATTTGTGCTATCTTCAGTTTCTTTTATTAATGTTTTTGAGTTTTCAGAGTACAGCAGGTCTTTGTAAATGGAATTGTATTCTTAATCTTTTTTCCTGATAATTTGTTATTAGTGTATAGACATGCCATTGGTTTCTGTGTATTAATTTTTTATCCTGTAACTTTTATTTATTAGTCTAATAGTTTTTTGTTTGTTTTTGGTAGACTCTTTAGGGTATTTTTATATACAGTATCATGTCATCTGTAACAGTGACAATTTTGCTTCTTTCCAGTTTGGTTGCATTCTCTTTTTTTGTCTGATTACTGTAACAAAGACTTCCAGTACAGTGTTGAATAAGAGTGGGCAGCCATGTCTTGTCCCTGAACTTAGGGGAAGAGCTTTTAGCTTTTCACCATTGAGTATGATGTTAGCTGTGGGTTTGTCATATATACTCTTTATTACATTGAAATATGTTCCCTCTAGTCCCACTTTGTTGAAAGTTTTTTTATCATAAACATGTTGTCAAATGCTTTCTGCTTCTTTTGAGATGATCATATAATTAAAAAATATTTTTATTTATTCATTTTAGAGAGAGAGGAAGGGAAAGAGAGAGGGAAACATCCATGTGTGGTTGCCTCTCACATGCCTCCTACTGGGGACCTGGCAATCCAGGCATGTGCCCTTAATGGGAATTGAACCTTGGTCAAGTTGGTTTGTAGGCCATTGCTCAATCCACTGAGCTACACCAGCCAGGGCAATTGTTCTACATCTTTACCAATACTGGTTATTTTATTTTTTGCTATAGAATGTGAAGTGGAAGTGGTAAAGATTTTTATTTATTTATTTTTAGAGAGAGGGGAAAGGGTGGGAGAAAAGAGAGGGAGAGAAATATCAATGTGTGGTTTCCTCTCATGTGGCCCCCAGTGGGGACCTGGCCTGCAACCCATGCATGTGCCCTGACTGGGAATTGAACCAGCGACTCTGGTTCGCAGCCTACACTCAGTCCACTGAGCTACAATCATATAATTGTTATTTGTTGCTTTGGTAACATATATTATGTTGATTGATTTGCAGATATTGATCCATGGCTTGGATCTCTGGAGTAAATCCCACTTGATAATAGTGTCTGATCCTTTAAATGTATTGTTGAATTCAGTTTGCTAATATTTTATTGAGAATTTTTGCATCTATGTTCATCAGGGATATTGGTCTGTAATTTTTTTATATTTTGTATTGTCTGTGTCTGGTTTTGGTATCTTTTTTTATAAGTGTTTCTAACTATAAATTTCTGCCTTAGCACTGCTTTTGTTGTATCCCATAAGTTTTGATATGTGTCTTTGTTTGGATTTGTTTCTAAGTATTTTATAATTATTATTTTCATTTCTCCTTTGATATATTAGCTGTTTAAAGTATACTGTTTAATTTCTAAAACTTTGTCAATTTTCCTTTTGTTACTGATTTCTAACTTTATCCTGTTGGGGTCAGAAAAGATACTTTGTATGAAATTAATGTTTTAGAATCTATGGTGACTTTGTTTGTGGCTTAACATAGTCTATCCTAGAAAATCTTCCAGATGCACTTGAGAATGAATGTGTATGCTGCTGTTCGGGGTAGAGGGTTTTGTATCTGTTTGTTAGGTCTAAGTGGTTTCTTTGTTAAATTCTCTATTCCCCATCTTCTGTCTGGTTTTTCTAGCCATTGTGAGTAGGGAGTTGAAGTCTCCAACTATTACTGTCTATTTCTCCCTTCAATTTTGTCGGGTTTTGCTTTATGTATTTTGCTGGCCCGTCATTAGGTTTGTAAATATTTACAATTGTTACAGCTTACTGCTGTATGGAGCCTTTTAAAAATGTATACAATGCCATTTTTTGTCTCTTAAAATCTTTTTTTTTTTAAGATTTTATTTATTTATCTTTAGAGGGGAAGAGGGAAAGGAGAGAGGGAGAGAAACATCAATGTATGGTTGCCTTTCGTGTGTCCCCTGCTGGGAACTGGCCTGCAGGGAACCAGCCTGCAACCCAGGCATGTGTCCTGACTGGGAATCAAACCGTGATCATGTTCTTCACAGGCCCGTGCTCAATCCACTGAGCTACACCATGAGCTACACCAGCCAGGGCAAATGTTTTTATTTATTTATTTATTTATTTATTTATTTATTTATTTATTTATTTATTTATTTATTTATTTATAGACAGAGGGCAAGGGAGAGAGAAAAGGGGAAAGAAGCATCA